ATGTCGCCAATTTTGTCACCAAATGTGGCAACCCTAAACTGCTTTGTGGGGAAGCCATCTCACCGCGCCTGTACATTTCATAACAATATTTTTGATGGCACTATAATATACTGAGACTGATGGAAAGGGTATAATACTGAAGAATTAAGAGAGGCTAGATTTCAACATTTCTGCATTAACCATAAATATGATTTTATTGATCCCGATACTGGTTGTCATATGCAAACTATTGAATGGTTATTGGACTGTTAAATGGCAAAATAAATATCAACAGGCACTGATCGTAACCAATTAGATTCTTATTTAATTGAGTGTATGTGGCGGCAGAAGTGCCCTAAAATGCAGATGTTTAATTGGACATTTTAAATGATCTGCAGTTTCATGCCTCTGGTTTGATCTTAATTTGCTAACTGATTTTTTCCCCCTGATTTCTTTGATAAGTTGTTTAAATTAAAAATTTCTAATTTTACGAATATCTGTTATATTATTTCTTCCTGTGGATTTTTCTTAACTATCATAAGTGACTATTTTTATGCTTTGAATATTTCTCCAGATTGTCAACTTTATAATGAATCTGATCCTTGTAACAGAACGGTATCTTCTAATGTGTTGAGTAAACCACTGAATAACTTACTTTTAACTTTATCTAAAAATCTGATGTGGACACCACATGACTTCCTTGTACAGAATATTGAATTATACGCAGATTTTGTTGCATTTCATTTAAACTTATTTCCTCAAATTTCAGTAGATAAATTTCTTATTCAATTAATTCAGTTCTCACTTCATGGCAAGGCAAAAATATATAAACCCTCAAAATTATTAAAAATATATAACATCACATACAGTTAAAAGAATTAAAAAAAGTATACAATTAAAATTAGTTTCTATGCAAAAACAAGCGACTTGGCCAGTGGGCAAGAAGGCAGATTTTTCAATGCACAAAACACTTTTCGTGTGGTTGATTAGAACCAAAAAGGGAGGTGGGCAATTACATGTTATAGCTATCCTTTATACACAATTTCAACATTCTGAGGGTACTCGTTTTTGAGCTATGCGAGGTACACACATACGTACAGACGTTGTAAAAAATCTGCTTTGAATCATTTTAATACCTTTATGCAACCCGCTTTTAGGGAAAAAAGTCCTGTATTCTGTTTTAACATTAGGGTATCCTGCAAAAACATCATTAAATTGCATTTGATAGTGGTCAAAATGGATATTTTCATTGAAATACGAGACCCGAAATTTTTTATTACAGTACTTATTTTACTTCATACATGGATGTAAAAAATTAGGCCTAGTCATACTTAAACAACTTTTAAATTGTTGATAATTACACAACTATTGCATGTAGATTAAATTAAAGCATAAAAACCTTAACCAGAAGATAACAACAGCATAATTCAATGTATTTTTAAAGCAAAAAGGGACAATTTACCGACATATAATAATAATAATAATAATAAAAAAAAAGGCTCACTGAATCAAGTAGCAGAGTAGGTATAGATATATACTTTTGGTGTGGCTCATTGCAACCAAAAAGGGAGGTGCATAACTACATGTAATAGCACAGGATTCGTAGTCGTCCTTACAAGTGCTTATAAGTCCTTATATTTGAAAATAAAATATAAAGGTCCTTATAGGTGCTTACTTTTTCTTTAAAGCCCGTATTTTTTTTTAGTGCTTATTTCTTGCATTTAGTGCTTTTTTTTAATCTTTTTTTTTTTTTTTAATGAATGCTCATTTTTTCCCCGTACCAAAGCCGAAACTAAATAAACAACTTTCTTCCTTATATGCAACATCAGATGGTGAATCATACTCCCGGAAATTGCTTTCCCCCCTTTCCCTGCATTAAGGTAACCTATGGTGTACGCGAGAGTATAGACAGGTGCGCATCGTTCTATTGGTCAAAGAATTGCGAAAACGGTAGAAAATTCCGGTACATTCGGTATTCTTTTCCTCCCACCCAAATACTACACACGTTTGGATTTCTATCAAGATTTTAATAATTTGCATTCTCGTTCAGCGTGGTCAGTTCATATTCGTGTTTATTATGATCGTTATGCTTATATTATGAGCATATGCATGAATATTTATAATAATATAGTTGCAGTTACTGGTGAAGTATAGATCAACTTGCAAAAAATGGGTGTGTTTTTACACAGATTAGCTTTCTAAGGAATAATATTCGGAATGGCTTAAATAAAAGGAAAGTAATCGAATAGTCATTTTCTGCCAATACATTATACAGTACGGAGGTTGGGAGGTTTTCCCCTTTCTCCGCAAAGTCTCTAATTTTGAAGCAGCAGACTTTTTTTTTGTCACTGTCCAAGTTGGATTGAATAGGACTAAAAGTTTTTGCGGTCTACCCGATCCAAGCGAAGATTGATTCCTATTCCGGAAATTTAACGCAGTCTGTTGAAAATTAGAAACGCCCCAGATTAGGAAGTCTCTTTCTTTTCTTTTATTTAGATCTTTATTCTCCGAATACCAGCAGCTGTTGATTCCGATTGCGTAATATCACATGTGGAAGAATTACGCCGCATGTATTGCGCAAATGCGCAATAACGTTTGCGGTATTTTGCAGAGATAATTAATTTTGATGTTCAGTCTGAGATTTGTTTATGAACACTTAAAAGAGTTTTACTGTGCTTTCTAAGCAGAATATCTCTCAATTCCGTTGGTCTATTTTTATATGATGCACATATCGAAATGTCAAAATAATTTATTTAGCCGAGAAATCTAAAGAACGGCCACAATCTCTCCCACTCCTCTTTTTTCCAGTTACTATCTGGAATATTCGGCAATTTTCGAGTATGCGAGTTACTTCAGCTTTTACTGTTAAAGGTTGACTGCATGAAGCAATTTCCCGTTTTCTGATTTCAGAAATGTGCCTCTTTTTTACTTAAATTACTTTGCTTGGAATATATGTTAGAGGAAACTGTTATGCAATGAAAATTTAGAAAATGTTCAGAATTTTGAATTAAGTTAAATTAGTTAAATATTAATATGAATGGAAAAATAAATTGTATTCATTATTAGGTGCCAAACGAATACAATTAATATGGCTTATTATTATTTATTTTCTATATTTTGAACTGATATTTCATCATTATATCTTTTAGTATAGTTTAGTTGTGCATAGTTTTTTTTTTTTCCTCTCATTGTAAACTAATTCTGTAAATTGAACTGTCATTTAAAATTTTAAAAAAAAGTTAATTGTTTTCCATGGTTGAGGTAATGCTCATTCTTTTAATAAATATTGCATTGCTCATATTTTAAATTACAAGTCTAATTTTTCTTTTAAGGTTATGCAGTTATGTATAATGTAATTAGACAGGTGCTTATTATTTTTCTTAAAATGTGCTTGACCTCTGCCCTGCGAGATGGCCATGAATTAGTCTCCCTCCTTTTTCATATGCGCAATCTTAACATCCGTGGCCTGGGTGTTCTGCAGTTTCTTCTTTTCTTGTTATAGTCTATTACTTTAAAATAGGTACTTTGATGTTATAGCGATCCTTCACTTATTTATGATTGTAAAATGGCATTGTCATGAAGGAGGGAATTAAAGAGATTTTAGCAAATTAGTAGATTCAATCTGTTCCCCTTATGAACCGTGGTTTGAGATATAAAAATGGCCTTGAAGTGCCTATTCTTCTAAAGAACAGATAACAGTTCATGATGTCCAACATTTGGTAATGTACATATTATGGATTCTAATATAATATTTGATATGTTAAATTAACTCATTAATCAACAAGACATTTTAATATATATTTAAAAATGCAGCAATTCTGAGAACTTAAAATTTAATAATTTAGAAAAATTGTACCTAATGAAATTGTATGTTATGTGTATCATTTAATATTCTGAATTATTTAACGTCAGATTTTTTTTACTGCAGTAAAGTGGAATTATAATCATTTCTGTTCCTGTTGAGATTTCTCTTGAACTGTAGCTCTTTCATTTTAGTTAACTTCTGTGGTTGAGATTAAGCAATTCTTTCTTCCAAATACATGCATTATCTGTCAGTTGTAAATTTGTAATTCAAGCTTTGTTCTTTGTGCCCACCTGAGGTACGTAACTGGAATACGAACTGCGCTCATTGACGACTGTCAAAATGTTAATGCAAATTTAAACTTTTAAAAATTCAGAAGTACATTTTCCATAATTGTTAACATAAGAAGAAACATTTACATATTCACTTTATTAAATGCTGTAAAACTAGTAAGTTTGAAAAACTTAACTGTCAATAATCAGCAACATTATTTCATTATGATTTCTAAAATGTTGATCATGTTTTGAAATTATCCAGAAATGTGAAAAATATTTTAAGACCGCTGTAAAAATGGTAATTGTACTGTGATAATCAAGCTTATAACAGTTCAGTAATTTTGACTTAAAGTGAAAAATATTGAGTGTTTAACATTTAACATCGGTTGATGACTTTTTTTGTAGCTAGATCTTAATAATAAACTGTATATGGATGTGTCTTAAATTCAAGAAAGGTAGTACACCATAGCTTCATCCAGCAGTCAGTTTCTTCTGTCCATTTTGGCGTTTAGTATGCAGCGTGAAGTCTTAAAAGAAAATTACGAGCAAAGTTATTTTTAACTTTCTAAAAATGATAATGTACAGTGCAGTTCTTGTTTATGCAAATATAAAATCTGAATTGAACTGAAATAGTGAAAATTGCTATTAGGTATGGGAGAACCAAATATAGTGAATATCTTTTGTTCTTCACTGCCTTAAATAGTTCTCAAATTCTTTGTAGTTAACCAATCTTTTCTCTAAAACTGGAATATTCTTAAAATTCTGTATATTATTTAAAAATTAGCAACCAAAACTAATTTTGAAAATAATCAGTTTATGATTTGCAGTAAACTGTTTATTTATTAGTGTTAATTGTTTCACATTTAGATTAGCATTTTCGAAATGATGTATTTGTGCTGGTTTCTGTACTCTTTTGTCTTAAATGAAATGTTTTTGTTTTTTAGGTCAACGAATATAAAGAGAAAGTAAAATTGCAGGTAAGTTATTTTCTCTTTAAATTGTTAAGTAGCTCATTGTCTAATAATTTTTGCAGAAATGATTTTTATAAATATTTTATTTAAAAAAAATAGAATATTTCATATACAGCCATCTACTTCTGAAAGGAAACATTAATATATAAAATTATTCAAATTGCTAATTAAATGTACCAAGTCTGATTGCTGTCTGTGCAAGCCCATGTAGAAGCGATTGGTGCTGGTGCAAGAAATGTTTACCTTTCACCTTTCCTAGCTGTCTGAGGTAGAGCATATTCCTGGCCTTTTATTTTTTATTATAAAGATTTTTTTCACAACTACAATTGATCAAGCAGTCTTTATAGAAAAACTAAGCAGAAACATTTTAACAATGCTGTGATAGGAGCAGTAGTTTAAATTAGCAAAGCTCCTCTTTTGAACAGTAATTGGTTTTAGTGAATGTTGTGATGCACTAAAATCACTTTTTTGGTTGGAGCAGAATGATCCTGAAACTTCAAATTTTGATCTGGAGGAATGATTACTAGCACTTCAGTGGTTCTCCAAATTAAGTTCAGCGAGTAGCTCAGTCACCAAAATGAACTAACTATAAGCAGTGGGCCTGATAGTCTTTCGGAACATTCATTACAGATTAATTGAGGGTAGGGGGGGAAATATTTTTAAAACCAAGGTTGAATTAACCAGTTAATGCCCAAATTATTCAGGGTTTGTGCGGTCCTTAAGAGTCCTTAAACAGGGTTCGTAGCGGTCCTTACAAGTGCTTATAAGTCCTTATATTTGAAAATAAAATATAAAGGCCCTTATAGGTGCTTACTTTTTCTTTAAAGCCCTTATTTTTTTTGTTTTTAGTGCATATTTTTTGCTTTTAGTGCTTTTTCTTAATCCTTTGTTTTTAATGAACGCGCATTTTTTCCCCCGTACCAAAGCCGAAACTAAATAAACAACTTTTTTTCCTTATATGCAACGTCAGATGGTGAATCATACTCCCGAAAATTGCTTTCCCCCCCTTCCTCTGCATTAATGTAACCTATGGTGCGCGCGAGAGTACAGACAGGTGCACGTCGTTCTATTGGCCAAAGAATTGCGAAAACGTAGAAAATTCCGGTACATTCGGTATTCTTTTCGTCCCACCCAAATACTACACACGTTTGAATTTCTATCAAGATTTTAATAAATTTGCATTCTCGTTCCGCGTGGTCAGTTCATATTCGTGTTTATTATGATCCTTACGCTTATATTATGAGCATATTTATGAATATTTATAATAACATAATTGCAGTAACTGCTGAAGTATAGATAAACTTCCAAAAATGGGTGTGTTTTTACACAGATTAGCTTTCTAAGGAATAATATTCGGAATGGCTTAAATAAAAGGAAAGTAATCGAATAGTCAAAATAATTTCATTTTCTTTGCCAATACATTATACAGTACGGAGGTTGGGAGTTTCTCCGCAAAATCTCTGATATTGAAGCAGCGGACTTTTTTTTTTTTTTTTTTGTCACTGTCCAATCTGGATTGAATAGGACTAAAAGTTTTTGCGGTCTACCCAACCCAAGCGAAGATTGATTCTATTCCGGAAAATTAATACAGTCTGTTGAAAATTAGAATCAGAAACACCCCAGATTAGTAAGTCTTCCTTTTCCTTTATTTAGTTCTTCTTTCTCCGAATACCGACAGGTGTTGATTCCAATTGCGTAATATCACATATGGAAGAATTACGCTGCACGTATTGCGCAATAACGTTTGCGGTATTTTGCATTGACAATTAATTTTGATGTTCAGTCTGAGATTTGTTTATGAACACTTAAGAGTTTTACTGTGCTTTCTAAGCAGAATATTTCTCGGTTCCGTTGGTTTTTATATGATGCACATATCGAAATGTCAAAATCATTTATTTAGCCTAAATTTAAATCTAAAGAACGGCTGCAATCTCCCCCACTCCTCTTTTTCCAGTTACTATCCGGAAAATTAGGGAATTTCCGAGTATGCTGGTTAGTTAAGCTTTTACTGTTAAAGGATGACTGAATGAAACAATTTCCCGTCTTCTGATTTCAGAAATGTGCCTCTTTTTTACTTAAATTACTTTGCTTGGGATATATGTTAAGGGAAAACTGTTATGCAATGAAAATTTAGGAAATGTTCAGAATTTTGATTTAAGTTAAATTATTCAAATATTAATATGAGTGGAAAAATAAATTGTATTTATTATTAAGTGCCAAACGAATACAATTAATATGGCTTATTATTATTTATTTTCTATATTTTCAACTGAAATATCATCATTAAATTTTGTAATATAGTTTAGTTCTGCATAGTTTTTTTTTTTCCTCTCAATGTAAACTAATTCTGTAAATTGAACTGTCATTTAAAATTAAAAAAAAGTTAATTGTTTTCCATTGTTGAGGTAATGCTCATTCTCTTAATAAATATTGCATTGCTCATATTTTAAATTACAAGTCTAATTTTTCTTTTAAGGTTATGCAGTTGTGTATAATGTAATTAGACAGGTGCTTATTTTTTCCTTAAAATGTGCTTGAAAAGTGCTTATAGGTGCTTATTTTTTTAACTAAAATGTGGCTATGAACCCTCTTAAAAGTCCTTAAATTTTTTGGAGTTGATTTTGGGTCCTTAAAAGTCCTTAACTTTGCCCCAAATCAGCAGAAGGTCTTTAATTTTAATCATCTGAAATTTCTGTCTGTTTTTATGGCTGCCATTTTGAGTGTGAATTAGCATTTTGGAGGAATATTTTTGGCGATTCACTGACATATGGTTATCTTTTGAATGTGTTCGTGGGTTATAATTTGTTTCTATTTCTAATAAAAATGATGGGATACTCGAGTTCCTAAGCAAGAAGTGAAACATTTCGAAATTCCTATTTTCTAATAAAGAACTCTTAAACAACTTTTCGCTTTTGGGGATGTGAATTCTTTTATTAAACAGCTCTAAATTTGGCGACTTTAAGATCAGTTTCTATAGAAAATTTTTAATTCTGAGATCTGACAATTTTTCGACCAGTTTTTTTAAAGCATCATCATAACATTGATAAATTTCATTAAAATAAAGGTAATATACTGAAATTATATATAAAAATTATCATTAAAATAAAACATTCTATTTTCCGCTGTCATATTATAAAGTTTCATTTTGGCAACTTATATTATGAATCTGATAAATAAGGCATATTGCTATAAAGCATAATGTACAAAACAGCTCTTAGCAAGAGCAAAATTAGCTATGCAATTAATTAAAAATGTCTTCTTTTTAAATTTATTCAGAAGTGTTTTTCCCATGCAATTTTCTTGGAATATTCAAAATTCTCAGAATATGCATCAGTTTTCTCTATAAAATTAATTTTACACTTTTCCCTCCCCCCCCTTTTTTTTTCTTTCAAAATATTTTTTTGCTGTTACAGAATTGGTAGGGATTTTTTAGTATTTTAGACATTGCAGCTTGAAAAGTTTAGAAGGGTTTGAAGTCAAGATTTATAGACCCACGATTCTAGAAGATTCGAGAAATATGTGACAAAATGAAAAATGTCTCCATGATATCGACATGTAATGGATGTATTTTACAGAAAGTTTGTGATGAATTTCTAACCTTTTGGAGAACGTCTGGAAGAACAATGAAAACATAATATTTGAATGTTATACTCCTGATACTAGAATCTTTTTCTTAACATGTTTATCTTCCCTTTATTTTCTCTACCTTTCACTAGACACAAGCATCAAAAATGCTAATCTTATCACTGGGCAAGCATTATAGAAAGTGATTTTTTTATTAATAAAGAAATTGAAAACTTACAATTTAAAAGATTCATCTAATATGCCTTAATGCATCATACACAGAGCTGGCACTAGGCAATTTCCCACTTGATGCAATCTCTGTGGATCCTAAATTCTAAACGTTTTGCTATTTCTAGATTTTGTTGTTCGGTGTGCCACTAAATTCTAAATATTCTGCCACACCAGCTTTGTAACCGGGCTTTACCATATATATTTCATATTTCTTCTGAATGTTCATATTACTAAAGAAATAGAATTAGTCACTTTTTCTATACATTCTAAATGCATTTAGTGTTTTTTAGAATAACAGAAATAATTAGATCCAAAAATTTTAAAATGAAAAGGAACCGTGTTGAAGAAAGAAACTGAATACATAAAGAAAATTACTCCTCAAAGATATGTGCAGTTATTATTATGTAACTTACCCAATTGTTTATAATTTCAGCCTTCAGTTTATGATTCAGCCGGGGTTTGGGACTATTTAACTTTTACCAGATCAAGTAAACCCTCATAGGTACCTTGTGGAGATGTTGACAAGTTAGGAGACAAGCATGCAGAAACTAGCAAGAACATTGGTTTGCATATTGAGACAACTCTCTAATTGTTAGAAAAGATGCTTAAAGAGAAAGAAATCTATATAAACTAGCCAAAATGTTTGGAAATGCTTCAAGTTAAAATGAAGGATAAATATTTTGTTGAGTGTTGTTACAAAACATAAATGTATAAATGTTTTGTAGCTTTTAATGTGTATCCTAATATCGTTTAAGAATCAATGTCATTAATTACATGTATGTTACACTGTGAAATTTTAAATAAAATTTAATAGTGGCCATGTAAATCTATAATGACTAAGGTTATCTAATTACCTAATTTAATTATTTATAACTAACTGCTTACCCTTAAAAGTTATCTGTACATATTAAAGCGAGTTATTGCCTTTCATTAACACTTACTGTAGTCACAAGATAAAACACAAAAATTAAAAAATTCAAGTAAAACTTATTCTCTTTGCATCTAGTGAAACTTAAAAATAATACAAAGCAACTTATCATCTCTGGTACTTTAATCGCTTATTGGAACATTAAAGTATATTAGTTGGGCTACAATCCCTTGGAACTCTACACAAAGCTGTGACACTAACTGCATCAAACAGAGCCTGACTAAGTTTCAACACTTGCCAACTGTGTCTACATCAGACCTTTCAGGTTTGTTCTAATGAGCAG